TCCGGCCTGCAGCTAGAGTGATCTTTTCCAGTGCAGCTGAGACGCCACCAGCCCCGTCCACTCACTGCCTTTCCTGGGGCGCCCACGTCCCAGGCACAGTGACCGCCTCTCCTGTCCTCCGGGAGCGCCTCCCCCACATCAGTGCCTGCCAAGATGGCACGCAGGCCTCGGCGCCAGTGTCTGCTCCCCAGAGACCCCCCACACCTCACTGTAGACAGGAAGCGCGGGGGTGGCCCAGGAGGAGGACAGATGAATGGGAGTCGCGTTTCTCTGCGCATCCCCCAGAGTGCCGGCCCACCTGGCTGCGTATGCCCTTCGGGGCCCTTAGGGCGCTTTGTAAGCGGATGCTCATGTGTCTGCCTCCAGAGCCGTGCCACTCACCACACATCTCCTGGGCAACCCCTCTGCATGGGATGCGCCCGGGGCACCCGGGACACCTCCATCCCCGGCTGATCCCCCTGCCCGTGCTGCCCTCATCACAGCTCCGTCATCCCGACTGCCAGTCTCCTGCTGCTAGTTGCGCGAGGCCAGGAACAGAGCTGCGTGGGCACCGGGCACCTCGCGAAGGGCCGCGGGGAGGAACGGCACGCCGCAGCCTGTCCGGCGGAGGCACGTCCCAGACCCTTCCCGCTGCAGCTCCCGTCTCCCCCCGGATCATCTAGCTGACTTGTTTGCTCCCGATCGACCCCGAGTTTCAGCACGATGAGGACCAGGGCTATGCCGGCTGCTACTAGAAACCCAAACGCCAGCTCCGCATGCTGTGCGCGAATAAATGAAACGCACGGCACTCCTAGGGAGACGCAGAGGACCTCAAAGAGACAAACTGGGAGATGGTCCCAGAAATCCAGGCTCAGACCTTAGCCTCACGGGGAGCGCGGGAGACAGCCCGAAGGCACCGAAGGGTGGAGACCGGGAGAGGCAGGTCAACCGTGGTAAATGAATGAAAGTCACACCACACAATCTCCCGCCCCAAGTTCTCTTCTAAGGGAATTCCCGAAGGGTCCTAGCCCCCAGGGCGCCCCCGACGCCGACCTGGCATCCCTGCGCTGTGCACACCTCGAAGCTCCAGATCTCCGTGACCTCCGGCCAGCAGTGACCTCGCCAACCGCCGCTGCGGCCCCGCCACGCCCCCCGCCCGCCCGATCTCCACAGCCGGCCACGTACGCCACTTACGCAGCCGGGGCGTCCCCGCCGCCGCCGCCAAGCCTGCCGGGTGCATCCTCCACCGCCGCCGCCGCCGCCGCCGCCGTCTTAGCCGCGGTTCGGAATGTGCCCGCCCGGCTTCCGTAGCCACCCCTCTCCGCCGACGCGCGCCAATGGGCCGCAGGGTTGCGTGGAGGCCACGCCCCCTCACGGCGGCCCAGGCGAGAGGGAGGTGGCCTACGTAAGAGGCGGGGCCTGGGGAGCGTGGGGGGCGGGGCCGGGAGTGGGCGGGGCCGGAGGTGGAGGAAAATAGCTCGGGTGTCGCGAGGAGGACTATGGGAAATGGAGTTTTGCGCAGGCAGGCGCTCAGGCTGGGTCTTCGAGAGCTCTGGCAGGCCGGAGAAAGGTGCGGGTGGCCGGGGCGGAGCTGTGCGGGCTCTAAGGCCTATACTGTTTTGCAGTGCTTAGGTATTAAAGTGAACGTTCGCAGTGAGAAAGGACACCCGACGAGTTAGGCGGGAACAACCAGGTCTGTTTCTTCGAAGATCCCTTTAGGCAGCTTCCCAGAAATTCATGAATGTTCTCGCGGTGCACTGGGTCTCACACTGCACCCCGCAGCCCCCGGCGCCCCTGCCCTGGCCGCTGAGCTGCCCCCACTCCGCCGCCCCCCGGGGCCCCTGCGCCGCTCGGGCAGAGATAATGGCGGAAGTGGCCGTGGGTCTCGATGCAGCTGCGGAAGGATGTCTGCAGGCCGCCCTATCACTGCGGCTTCCCCTTCCTCTTCGTTTGAGGGCTGCTCCGTGTCCCAGGGCTGAGTCAGCTGCAGGCCTTTATGTGAGCCGCGGTTCCTTTTTTCACCTCTGCTTCAGCGTCTGCTTTAGGACTCCAGTTCCGCCGACTCCTCATCCTCATCCTCCTGAATAAAACATCTTCTAGGGCCGGCGCCGCGGCTCACTAGGCTAATCCTCCGCCTTGCGGCGCCGGCACACCGGGTTCTAGTCCCGGTCGGGGCGCCGGATTCTGCCCGGTTGCCCCCCTTCCAGGCCAGCTCTCTGCTGTGGCCAGGGAGTGCAGTGGAGGATGGCCCAGGACCTTGGGCCCTGCACCCCATGGGAGACCAGGATAAGTACCTGGCTCCTGCCATCGGATCAGCGCGGTGCGGCGGCCATTGGAGGGTGAACCAACGGCAAAGGAAGACCTTTCTCTCTGTCTCTCTCTCTCACTGTCCACTCTGCCTGTCAAAAAAAAAAAAAAAATCTTCTAAAAGGCACAGTAGCAGCGAGCTGGATCTTAAGTGGAGCAGCCGGGACTCGAACCAGTGGCCATATGGGATGCCGGAGTAGCAGGCAAATCTGAGAATGCTCAAGGTTCTGATATGAAATGGCATAGTATTTGCATAGAACCCATACCCAGGCCCTCATATACTTTATTTTTTAATGATTTATTTGTTTATTTATTTGAAAGTCAGAGTTACACAGAAAGAGGAGAGGCAGCGAAAGAGAGAGAGAGGTCTTCCATCTGCTGGTTCACTCCCCAATTGGCCACAACAGGTCAGAGCTGCGCTGATCCAAAGCCGGGAGCCAGGAGCTTCCTCTGGGTCTCCCACGTGGGTGCAGGGGCCCAAGGACCTGGGCAATCTTCTACTGCTTTCCCAGGCCATAGCAGAGAGCTGGATTGGAAGTGGAACAGCTGGGACTTGAACCAGCACCCATATGGGGTGCTGGCACTGCAGGTGGTGGCTTTACCCACTATGCCATAGCGCCAGCCCCCTTCATATACTTTAAATCATCTCCATATTATGTCTAGTGCCTAAACCAATATAAATGCTACTATATGTTATATGTTATACTATATTGTTTAGGCATAAAAGTCTATACATATTCAGTACAATGCAATTTCTTTTCCAATTTTTTTTTTTTTGATCTGTGGTTGGTTCAGTCCATGGATGTGGAACCCACATAGACAGCCAACTGTACTCAGTTTAAAAGAAAAAAAACCTCTACCCTTAATAATTTTATTTATTTATTTTTAAGATTTATTTTATTTATTTGAAAGACAGAGTTACAGAGAGAGGCAGAGAGAGAGAGAGAGAGAGAGAGAGGTCTTCCATCCGCTGGTTCACTCCCCAGATGGCTGCAACAGCTGGAGCTGTGCAGATCTGAAGTCATGAGCCAGGAGCCTCCTCCAGGTCTCCCACGCTGGTGCAGGGGCCCAAGCACTTGGGCCATCTTCTACTGCTTTCCCAGGCCATAGCAGAGAGCCGGAACAGAAGAGGAGCACCCGGGACTAGAACCAGCGCCCATATGGGATGCTGGCGCTTTAGGCCGGGGCTTTAACCCGCTGCGCCACAGTTCCAGCCCCTTATTTATTTTTTAATGTTTATTTTCATCTATTTGAAAGGCAGAGCAATAGAGATATCTTCCATCCATTGGTTTATTCCCCCAAAGGGCTGTAACAGCCAGTGCTGGACCAGTCTGAAACCAGGAGCCAGAAACCCGGTCCTGGTCTTCCACAGGGGTGGCAGGGGGCCCCAGCCCGTGAGCCATCTGCTGTTGCCCCCTGGGATGCATTAGCAGGAAGCTGATGGCCAGAACTCTGAAACCACAGCCCGACAGGGAGATGCCAGCATCCCGTGCCGTGGCTTAACTCTGCACCACAGCACTTGTTCTTGTTCTCCATTTCTAAAAATACTTGTTTATTTATCTGAAAGCAGAGAAACAGAGATCTTCAGTCGGCTGTCTCACATCCCAGATGCCTTCCCAGCCGGGGCTGGGCCGGGCCAGGCCACAGCCAGGAGCCAGGAGCCTGGAGCTCCAGCCCAGTCTCCTACAAGGCAGGGCAGGGACCCAAGCACCTGGGCCATCTGCTGCTCCCCAGGCACAGTAGCAGGGAGCCAGATCTCTAACCCAGGCACTCTGGGCAGCCCAGCCTAACCACTGCGCCACAATCCCACTCCCGTACTCCATTTTAAAGCCTAAATTTTCTCATCTGGTTAATGGGAAGATATGAGAAGGTTTGAGGGCTCAGTGCAGGCGTGTGTCACAGCACTCCATCACTGGCAGCCCCTGCTGTTTGTATTATCAGACGTCTCTTCCGGTGCACTGTCAGCCCCAAGTTGGGCTTCACCCCAAGACTGCCACGGTTTCATAAACAGAAGAGGCTGGGGCCCCAAGCCCCCTCTCTCCTGACAACCAGGCGTGCCTGGGATGCCAGGGGGCCCTCCCCTCAGAGAGGGAGCGTGGAGAGATGTGGGAAGAAGAGTTCTGTATTAGAGGCGTGTATGCTAGTATGTGTGTGTATGTGTGTGTGTGTGTGTGTGAGAGAGAGAGAGAGAGAGAGAGAGAGACATTCTGCCAAGAAGAGACCCAGGCTCCCACCTGTTGGTCCTCACTTTTCAGCTAGGACAGTCTCCCTAGAACGAGTCGGTCACCTCTGGCCAGCTGCCACAGCCCTCTGAGCCCCCCAGGATCCCAGCATAGCCTGTGCTGGGCCCATCACGGCCCTGAGTCTCTGGGCTTCCCTCTGCTGACAAGCCAGCCTAGACCCGGGGTCCTACAGGGCAGGACCCAGCCCCGTCCTGGTCACTGCCGTGTCCCCAGCAGTCCCCAGCAAGGGGTCAGGCACAAAATGGGCGCTGAACCCCATTCCCGCACTGGCCAAGGATCCGAGCCGCTCGACCCCAGGGTGCTCGCCGCCCCCGCCTGAGGGACGACGCAGCCCCAGTGCCCTGGGGCGCAGGACTTGGCACAAGAAGGGAGCCCTGGCTTCCCGTGTGCCTCCTGCCCCCTCAGCCGCCGGCGCTGCGCTGCACAGCCTCGGCAGCCGTGCGCAATGACCCTGAGCAGTGCGGGGGTCGGCGGGTGCGGAGGAGAGTTCGGGGTCTCTGTAAGGCAGGGAGCCGCGACCCCGCCGCGGGCGAGGCGGGGAGGAAGCGAGGATCGCGCCCCTTCCCCGCCTCCCGGCCTCCCGGTACCGGCAGCGCGAGGCTCCACCCTCTCTGCACGGGACGAACACCTGGCGGCAGGGCGTGCCTCAGTTTCCCAGACGCCTGGCGATCCTCCGCCCCGCTCCTCCCCTTTTCCCTCTTCCTCTTCGGGGCTTCGGCGGCCGCGCCGCGAGCACTCCCGGAACTGAAAGAGGGTGCCGGGCCCGTCGGGGGCGCCGGCCACGTCAGCGGGGCGGCGGGGCGGCGGGGCGGTGCGGGAGCGGGGCCCGGCGGGCGCCATGCGGCGGGGCGCGCTGCTGGCCGGCGCCCTGGCCGCCTACGCCGTGTACCTGGTGCTGGGCGCGCTGCTGGTGGCGCGGCTGGAGGGGCCGCACGAAGCGCGGCTCCGCGCCGAGCTGGGGACGCTGCGGGAGCAGCTGCTGCAGCGCAGCCCGTGCGTGGCGGCGCCCGCCCTGGACGCCTTCGTGGAGCGGGTGCTGGCGGCCGGCCGGCTGGGGCGCGCGGTGTTCGCCAACGCTTCGGGGTCCAACGCCTCGGACCCTTCCTGGGACTTTGCCTCGGCTCTCTTCTTCGCCAGCACGCTGGTCACCACCGTGGGTACGTGAGCCGCCCCGGCCTTCGAGCCAGCGGCAACCCGGGACCCCTTCTCGTCCCTGGGCCCCGGGGACTCCCAGTCTCCTCTGGGCCTGACGACCCCTTAAACTCCTTCCGAGGAGGACAGAGGCGCCCCGTGGTTTCTGAGCCCCTTGGGGAGCACTCACGCGGGGCCTGAGCAGGGAAAAACCCATCCCACTGGGGCTACAGCCGGTCAGGTACCTCCGGGGAGCACCTGGGGCCCCGGTCCCGGCCCAGGACTGTCCTCAGGGACCGGTGAGGACCCGGCACCTCCACCTGCAGGCCTCTGGCCGGCGCTGAACCTAAGCCACGCCGGGACTCCTGGGCTCGTGTCTGGGCCCCACTACCCGTGTCCCCTGCCTCTCCAGATCTGCCCCACTCCCCGCCATCGGGATACCCTTTGGGAACCCCACCGACCTTCTCCTGACCCCAGGACCCCAGTGAAGACTCTGGACCCCCTCTGGGCCTCCCCACTTGCTATCACTAAAGACCTGCTGTGAAGAGACCCTCTCCCCTTTGGAGCAAGCCCACTCTCCAGCAAGGGTCCCTGCCTTTCTCCTGGCCAGGGCGCACCCAGCCGTAACCCTCCCCGAGGATCCCACCCTAGCTGGGCATCTCCCCCGGATCAGGGAGACCTGGGGGTGATCCTCCTAACGAGGTACCCCCACCCCCCCTGGACCTGGGTGGAGTCCCCGACTCTGCAGCCCGATTGTGGTTGTGTGAAAGGGACCCACCATGGCCCGAGCCCGAGCGCTCTCCATAAAGGACTCCTGACCATCAGTCCAGGAGCCCCCACCACCCGCAGCAAGTCTCGTTCCCAGCCAAGGACTTCCCATGGGGGCCTTGTGGAACCCTGAGACGAACTCTCCCAGCAGGGACCCAGGGTCGTGTACACTGTCCTCGGAGCAGAGTTCACCTCCCAGCACACACGGCAGCCCCGGGACTCAGCTCTCTGCCTGTCGTCCCTGCCTGGACACCCTCTGTCCACCCCGGGTTTCCCTAACAACGGGGCCCCTTGGGGACCTGGGTGCCTCTGCTCACCAGCAGGCCCCCAGTGGGAGCCTCCCTTCTCTGAAGTCTCCTCCCAGCAGGGAGTGTGGCTGCGGGGGCCGGCCTTCCCTTGGCGCCCCACTGTGTGGGCCGGCAGCCAAGGTCAGGGACAGCCCCGCCGGCCTTCCCCTAGGCCTTGCTCTTCCCCCAGCTGCCTGGGCCTGCTGGACCTGCTTTCCAGCCACAGGGGAAGCTGCCAGGGCCGCTCTGGGTCACCTGCCCCTCCCGCCACCTCCTCCCAGCTCCCGGCTTCTGAGAAGTCACCATGGGCAGAGCAGGGGAGGAAGAACAGAGAGAAGGCAGGCGCAGGCTGCTCCGTAGCCCTGCCAGGCCACTGCTTGTCTCCAGCTCCACATCTTCTTTCATCTGTAAAATGGGCATAATACCCCTCCCCGCCTCACGGTGTTGCTCATAATAGCCTGATCCGGACTTACAACTTGCTTGCATTAGCTCACTTTCCCAGCACGAGACTTGGGAGATAGGTCCCACCGATGGCCCTAATTATTTTCTTTAAAGATTGATTGATTGATTTGAAAGGCAGCATTACAGAGAGAGGAGGAGAGGCAAAGAGAGACAGAGATGGAGGTCTTCCATCCGTTGATTCACTCCCCAGATGGCCACAACAGCCAGGGCTGAGCCAGGCTGAAGCCAGTACCCTGGAACTCCCTCAGGTTGCCCGTGTGGATGGCAAGGGCCCAAGCACGTGAGCCATTGTCGGCTGCTTTTCTCAGAAGCATTAGCAGGGAGCTGAATCAGAAGCAGAGTTGCCGAGACTCCAGCTGGTGTTCATACGGGGTGCTGGTGTCACCCACTTCACCCTTGTCGTGCCCTTGTCTTACGTTTTAATCAAGGAAAACAGGCCCAGAGAAGTTGCCTGGCTGGCACAAGGTCACACAGCTAAGGAGGTGTCGAGTAGAGGTTCAAGCTAAAGCCGTGAGGCCCCGAAGCTCGGTGGTTTTAACCAATGCATCACACACTGTGCGGCACGGAGAAGGGTGATGTGTGTATTGTAAGAGAAAAATTACCCCGACCCTTGTTAACAAGGGAAAGTCATTGTGCGAGAACGGAGCCTGGACTGCAGTGTGACTACGGCACAGACAGCTGGGGCGGCGGCGGGCGGAAAGGCACTAGGAGGAGACTTGAGGGTAGGAGGGTCCTTGCTAGCCTTGGCTTAACCAGACTCTTGCTGCAGCCAAGCCAAGGACGTGGCTGGGGGGGGGGGGGGGGTCTAGGATTCTTGCTGAAAGTAAAAGTAGGCCTGCCCCCCCCCCCCCCGGCAGGTGGCCGAGGAGAGCATCTTTATGGCTGGGAAGTGCTGGCTGGACGCACCCGTGTTGACCAAGCCTCCCGGATCCTTATCACCGGGGCGGGGCTGGTGCCCTGACTGCATCAGGAGATATGAGAATGGGAATGGCGTTCGGAGGGAGGCTCGGCTGCCACAGCGTCTGTCTCGGCGGCCCAAGGGTTTTTTTTTTTTTTTTTTTTTAAGATTTGTTTATTTACCAGAGAGGCAGTTACAAAGAGAGTGAGAGAGAGATCTTCCATCTGCTGGTTCACTCCCCAAATGGCTGCAATGGCTGGGCCAGGGCCAAGGCAAAGAATGGAGCCAGGAACCCTATCCGGGTCTCCTACATGGGTGCAGGGGCTCAAGCACTTGGGCCATCCTCTGCTGCTTTCCCAGGCACATTAACAGGGAGCTGGATCAGAAGTGGAGCAGCTGGGATTTGAACCCGTATGGAATGCCAGCGCTTAACCCACACCACAACGCCGGCCCCCAGGCCCAAGTCTTCTGAGGAGCACCTGGTGCCTGGGGCTGAGCCAGTGGTCCGGGGGTGGGGGCGCTGCCCTACCTGGAAGTGGGAATGCTGTCACTGTGACTGCGGGCTCCCGGGAGTGCTGCGCCCTGTCCCCGCCTGCGAGAATTGCTACTGTATTTGAGGAAGCGATGATTTCTGTAAAGATTTATTTATTTGAAAGGCAGAGAGACAGAGGGGGAGATACAGAGACAGAAAGAGGTTTTTCATCTACTGGTTCACTCCCTAGGTGGCCGCAGCAGCCAGGGCTGGGCCAGGCTGAAGCCAGGAGCCAGGAGCTTCTCCCAGGTCTCCCACATGGGTGCAGGGGCCCAAGGACTTAGGCCATCCTCTGCTGCTTTCCCAGGCACAATAGCAGGGAGCTGGATCAGAAGTGGAGCAGCTGGGACTTGAACCAGGGCTCTTGTGAGATGCTGGCATGGTAGGCAGTGGCTTTACCTGCTGCGCCACAGCGCCGGCCCAAAGCCCCGTATTCATGAGGGTTGGAATCATAAGGTGGTAAGATGGAAGGTTGTTTCATGCCCACGTTCAAAGCAGTCAGAGACCCAGGCTCCTGCTGGCACGCCGCGCACCAAGGTTGCCTGCAGGCCCCGGGGGGGCACTCAATGCCAGCCTTGGGGCCGGCACTGTGGCATAGCTGGTTAAGCCTCAGCTTGTAGTGCCGGCAACCCACATGACGCCTGGTTCAAGTCCCGGCTGCTCCCCTCTAATCCAGCTCTCTACTAGTGCGCCTGGGAAAGCAGCAGAGGATAACACAAGTGCTTTGGGCTCCTGCACCCGCGTGGGAGACCCTGGCCCTGGCTGTTGTGGCCATCTGGGGACAGAACCAGTGCATAGAAGACCTCCTTTTCTCTGTCTCCCCCCGGCCCATAACGCTGACTTTCAAACAAATAAATACATTTTAGAAATATACACGCAGGGCCGGCGCCGTGGCTTACTAGGCTAATCCTCTGCCTTGCGGCGCCGGCACACCGGGTTCTAGTCCCGGTTGCCCCTCTTCCAGGCCAGCTCTCTGCTGTGGCCCAGGAGTGCAGTGGAGGATGGCCCAAGTACCTGGGCCCTGCACCCCATGGGAGACCAGGAGAAGCACCTGGCTCCTGCCATCAGATCAGCGTGGTGTGCTGGCCGCGGTGCGCCGGCCGTGGCGGCCATTGGAGGGTGAACCAACGGCAAAGGAAGACCTTTCTCTCTGTCTCTCTCTCTCTCTCTCACTGTCCACTCTGCCTGTCAAAAAAAAAAAAAAAAAAAAAAGAAAGAAAGAAATACACACGCAGAAGCTGTCATGTCTGCAGCTGGCAGGAGGAGCCAGGGAAGAAGGGAGAGGGACTCCTCCCTCTACTTACAGTCCCTTCCTAGAAGTCCCCTGATGCTTTCGGGGGACACTCATTCACCCAGAGAATCAGAGCCACACTGAGCTGCACGGGAGGACGTGCTGTCCTCATTCCAGGCGTCCATGTGTCCAGCTAAAAGCCAGGTGGACCCTTTTACAATTGTTTAATTAATTGATTGCTATTTAATTTTATTGGAAGAGCAGAAAGATATAGGAAGAGAGACTGAGACAGAGAGATCTTCCATCTGCTGGTTCACTCCTCAAAGGCCTACAATAGCCAGGCCTGACCAGGCCAAAGTCAGGAGCCAGGAACTCCATCCAGGTCTCCCACCTGGGTGGCAGGGGCCCGAGTGCTTGAGCCATCACCTGCTGCCTCCTAGGGTGCACAGTAGCAGGAAGCTGGAATCGGAAGCGGAGCTGGGACTCGAACCCAGGCACTCTGATATGGGACGTGGGGGCTTAACTAAGTGCCAGGTCCCTCAGGCACCACTGAACTGTGGTAAAATGCTCGCGCACATAACATAAAATGCCCCACAGTGACAGCTTCCCAAGTGCACAGCTCAGTGCATCAGGTTCGCTCCTGCTGAGCGACCGTCAGCATCGCCCCTCTCCGAGAACCCTTCGTCCTGCGGAACCAATGGCGGTTCCCCACTGAGCAGTGCCCCAGCCCCTGGCCACTGCCGTTCTGCCTTTCCCGGCGGACTGCGCAAAGGGTCGCGTGGACCGGAATCCCACGAACACCGCCTTTTGGTGACCGGCTCCTTTCACTTAGCGTCATGCCCCCAGCACCCTTTTGTGTTGTGCCTGTGTCAGAATTCCCTTCCTCCAGAGAGCCCGAGGCGGAAGCACACTGCCCTGTGGATGGGGTGGAGTATCGTGGGGACTGGTGGGGACCCAGACCTTCCGCCTGAGTGACAGGGAGCCACGGGAGGGGCAAGGCGCCCCCTGACTTCACAGACTGCGATTTAGGGTCGGGGGAGGACGGTGCAGCACCAGGATTGGGGGGAGACGCAGGTGGGTGCTGGGCTCTGGCGCTATGTGACGGTTGAGACGGCAGGTGTCGCTGTTGCACCGGACGCGATGGTGCAGGGCCTGAGCAGTGAGTGGGGAGCGGAGGCGGCTGGGGGTGGGGGTAGGGGGATCTTAGGTGTCCGTGTAGGGCACAAGGGTTCCCTGTGACCCCCCCACAGGCTACGGGTACACGACGCCACTGACCGACGCGGGCAAGGCCTTCTCCATCGCCTTCGCGCTGCTCGGCGTGCCCACCACCATGCTGCTCCTGACCGCTTCGGCCCAGCGCCTGTCTCTGCTGCTCACCCACAGGCCCCTGGCTTGGCTGAGGACGCGCTGGGGCTGGGAGCCCCGGCGGGCCGCCCGCTGGCACTTGGTGGCCCTGCTGGGGGTCATCGTGGCCTTCTGCTTCCTGGTACCAGCGGCCATCTTCGCCTACCTAGAGGAGGCCTGGAGCTTCCTGGACGCTTTCTACTTCTGCTTCATCTCCCTGTCCACCATCGGCCTGGGGGACTATGTGCCCGGGGAGGCCCCTGGCCAGCCCCACCGTGCGCTCTACAAGGTGCTGGTGACAGGTGAGCTGGGGGCGCCGGCTGGGCACCGAGGGGCGGGGGGTGAAGATGGAGGGAGTGGCGGTGGCTGCCGGCCGGTGGCCCTGCCTCACGGAGCTGAGCCCCAAGCCGGCCACTGACCCTCCGCGCCTCCGCAGTCTACCTCTTCCTGGGCCTGGTGTTCATGGTGCTGGTGCTGCAGACCTTCCGCCACCTGTCCGACCTCCACGGCCTCACCGAGCTCATCCTGCTGCCGTCCACCCCGTGCCCCGCCAGCCTCAGCGAGGAAGACGATGATCGGGTGGACATCCTGGGCCACCAGCCAGAGCCACACCAGCAGCTGTCTGCCAGCTCCCACGCCAACTATGCCTCCATCCCCAGGTAGCCGGGGCGGGCACCGGGGACCCACAGGAGCGCACCTGCCGGGACAGCTACCTTGTGTCCGCCAGCACACGGGGCGGGCACTGCCTCCGTGCCCTGGGCTCCACCGGACACCGACACGACCTTGCTCTCCGTCCTTTCCCTTCATTTCAAACCGCGCGCTCCGGGCCCCCGGCCTCTGCTCTTCCCGTTGGTTTACAGTCTCTCGCCTGTTCCACTGGTCTTGCCCGTGAGCCACTCCTCAGCTGCCGGTTCCACCGGGCGCTCCATCTGGCCCTGTCCTCCGCCGTGACTGCCCGTCTCTCAGCCTTGACAGTTAGGTGGAAAGAATACGTTTACTCGCCCAGAAACTCCCCGCTTTGTGCTGCCATGCGCTGGCCAGCGCTGGAGGCACAGGAGTGGTGGAGGTGGCCCTGTACTGTGACGGCAGAGGTGGCCCCACACGGGCAGGACTGCGGTGGGGGGAAGGCAGAATTGTTGGGGCACAATGGAGAAAGCATAGGCATGTTCTTAATCCGGCTTAAAAGGACTGGAGGGCTTCCTGGAGGAAAGGGGCAACTGAACCAAGACCTGAAATTTGAGGAATCGTCAGGGAAGAAGTCATCCCTAACTTCCTTGTCTTAGGTGTCTCCGGGAAACGGGGCCGTGCAGGCCTGGGGACACACTTGCCATCAGTAGCGCAGCAGGCAGGAAGCTGACATGGGGCCCCAGCCCAGATCTGCACGGAAGGCAGAGCTCTCGGCCAGGACGCTGTTGTAACAGCTGGCCGATGCTGATAGCTCCGGGCGCGGGGCTCAAATCCCAGCACAGCCTGGTCCTGCCTGTGAAAGGTGACCCTAGATAGAGCTGCTTGCCACCGAGGTTTTGCAGGTGCGGCGTTGTTTTGCGAAGCTTGCTCTGAGTGGGCCCTGCCCTGCACACTCTCCCTATGAGGGAGGGGAAATGAATCAGCCCCACCCACAGATGAGAAAACTGAGGCGGGGTGCTGGGGATCTCCCTGGCTCAGCCCACAGAGGCAGAAAGAGGGGTCTGATTTATGTTTAGTGCCCCTGGAGACTTGTCCCCTCCCAAGATGCACCTCCGTGTGGTCTCACCGCTGGGGCCCAGCTGTGCACTTGTTCTCTGTCACTTCCTATGGCGGGGACAGAAGCCACAGGGCCTTGGAGCTGGCCTTGCACAGGAGGGTTGGAAAGGCCCGGGGAGAAGACGCCGGGCTGGGGGTGGGGAGGAGCTGGGTGCGCCAGCCTGGAGCTGGGAGGAGGCGCTGGACCCGCTCCGGCCAGGGCCTTCCTGCGGCCCCAGCAGGGCTGAGAGGGAGAAGGGGTGGAGACGGCGACTTTGAAGGACAGGCCTGGGGGCGTGGCCTCCTCCCGCGGCTCTGAGTAGGAGAGGGTCGGGGGCGGTGTAGGCTTTAGAAGATGTTCCGGTTGTGGTCGGGAGGTGAACCAGGGGGCGGATGGGGCAGGAACACAGTAGGGGGTGGGCCGGGTGGAGCCTTGGGAGGGGGCGAGAGGGGATGGGGTGGAGGGACCCGGCGGGGCCGGTCCCAGGGACCGGGCCTGGGAGAAAGGTGGGGTTTGTGGGGAGCAGCAGAGGCGAGTTGGGAGTGTGGGGGCTGGGCTCAGGGGTGGCCAGGACTGGAGACAGAGGTGAGGGACCGAGGGTGTAGTCCACACTCGGAAGCCGCGGCACTGCGGGTCTGCAGCATTCGGATAAAGCCACACCGTGTGCCAGGCCCTGCGGGCGAGCCTCAGCCCTCGGCAACCCCGGGGGAGTAGGGACATCCGTCCCAGAGAGGCTACATGACGTGTGCCCGTCAGCCGCGAGGGCGAGCCTGGGATTCGGACGAGGCTTCGGTTGCTCCCGTCTTCCCTCGGGGGCTCTGAGCTCCCCACGGCCTCCCGCCAGCTCCACGCCTTCTCTGCTCTGCAGGGTCGGGGAGGACTGGGAGGCGGGGGCTTCCCCTTCTCATCTGGATGCCGCCTGCCGGCTTCTCCCTCCAGTGCCTCTAGGAACAGGTCCTGTCCGGTTCAAGACAGGAAAAACATAAGAAGCAAATAAATAAATAAATAAATATTCAAGAGGCACAAAGGGACGCGGGGTGGGAAGTGCCGCTCTACACTTAGCAGAGGAACCAGCCACAGGCGTGGGCTGGTCGTTATTTTTCGCTACTCACAAGTGAGAAGTGAACCTAGAGGGGGGAGGTGGGGAAGATCAGGCTCTGGGGGCAGAGACCCTGGGTATGAGTCTCCACCGTCGCTGCCCGGGGTCGCTGCCAAGGGTGAGTGAGTTCACTCCCTGCGCCTCTGTTTGCCGGGCTGTGAAATGGGAGGATCACAACCCCGACCTCGTGGACTTGCAGAGGAAGGAAGCGGCTGAATCCTGCAAAGCCTGTAGCACGGGGTCTGCCACGGAGTTAGATGTTGGCCAATTATTCTCGGGTCTGTACTGTGCTTTGTACAAATCCATAAATTATAGACACACAACGATTAGCCTTTTATTATTTCTGCACCTCGCCTTTTTCACCAACACAGTCATTTGCAGGTCATTTAAGAGACACACATATAGGTCTCAAATACTTAAAGATTGCAGCAGGTGGGGCTGGACCAGACCAATATCAGGAGCCCAGAACTCTTTCTGGGCCTCCCACATGGTGGCGGGGACCTGAGTACTTGGGCCTTCGCTGCCGCCTCCTAGGGTAGGAGTGAGCAGGAGTGGGGGGGCCCAGGGCCCGCCCCCTCGGGGGCTGCATTTTCCAGGGCCTGTATGACAGTGACTGCTAAGTGTGGACGGACTCAGATTCTCGGCTGCTGCCGGTTTCTTCCTCAGATGGAGTTACCTGGCCCCCGGGGGTGGGGCTGGGCGTGGGGGGAGGTGTCAGTCTGCTGCTCATTTACGTGAGAACATCCTTCCCGTGCAGGGCAGGGCTGGGCGTGGGGGGGACAGACGCTGCTCTCGGAGTCTTCATGCATGCTCCAGTCTGAAAACTGCTTTGCCGTTCATCTAAAGGCCCCGGACGGCAGCGAGGCGCAGTGCAAACGTGGCGGCGGCTGGCACGCACTGCTGAGGCCCTGAGGCGGTGCCTGCTGGCAGACTGCGGGTGTCGCGGGCAGTGGGGGACACCACCGGCAGGCATCTTCCTGGGCAGGAGGGCAGGGGGACCACTGCGCCACGCGGGCGATGGGCAGGAGCGGAGACCACGGAGGACGCTCTCCCCACGGACCCTGGGGGACAGCCATGGGGTTTGGCGTTGTCCACTACAGTGAAGTAACCAATGACTTTGTCCTTGCTGGTGCAGACCAAGGGGCGGGCCCTGCGCGAGGCCACGTAGTTCATCCGCACCGCCTCTGCCAGCCTGGAGGCGGCATTCCCGGCGCCGCTTAGGCTGAGTTGCACCGGGGGGAGGAGGAGGAGGGGGCGCTTCATGTGAGGGACAGCTGGTGGGATGGCAGGGCGGGGAATAAGGTTCCGGCCTGAGTCCTGTCAACAAGGCACTATTGCAACGCATTCAGGTTAAAGACCGCGCCTGGCTTTCATATGCGATTCCAGAAACCAGGCGCCACCTCCTTCCACCGCGTACCACGGCGCTCTGAGCAGCCGAGCCCAGCAGGGCGGCTGCAGGTAGTTTCCGTAGCCGTCGCTGTCCGGTGAAAGCCGAGGGCACTCTCCTATTTTAGCAGCTAAGATGGGCTTGCTTGGGGATTTGGCTGTTGTTCCCCGTCCCCTGGCTGCTGGCCTCAGCTACTGAAGCGACTCCATTTTGGCTGGGCCAGCTGGGCCTGGGGCGGGAGCTCAGTCCTATAAATTGTACTTAATCGCCTTTCGGTATCAGGCACGGAATACAAATAAAAATTGTTAACTCAAGAATGCGCGCGCCTGGCACGGCGCTGCTTGCTGTGTTCGCGTGTTATCTTTTGGACTTCCCACAGCCGCTGCACGCGACGCCTGCCCTGGACCACGGGGGCGGGCAGCAGGGCCAGCCGCCCTCACGGCCTTTGGTTCCAGGGGAGCACACCTGCCTTCGCCCGGCGCCCGCGTCCCCTCCTCCCGGCGGGCCGCGAAGCCCTCAGCGCACGTTGGGCGCGCGCGTTACCATGGAGACAGAAGCGCGAGGGCGGAAGTCGGCGGTGGAACGCGGGCGGCCATTTTGAGAGCGGGCAAGAGGGGCGGGACCGGACAAGTGACGGTTGACCGGTTTTAACCAAGAGGCTGGTACCGCGGGGCGGGGAGGAGAGGGCGGTGCCATCCCAGAGCGGGATGCCAGGGGCGGGGAGGGGCTAGGACGGGGAGGGGCGGGAGGGGTGGGGAGGAAGGAGGCGCAGAGGGCAGGAGGAGGGGAAAGAGTGGACGGTCCAGGGACCCGGCGGAGCGAGGGACAGCGTAGGGGCGGAGGAAAGGCGGGTCGGGAGGAGCGGGGAGATGAGTCGGGGCGGGGCATAAGCAGGCAGGTGCGGAGGGCATGGAAAGAGGGGAGAAGAGGCGGGGAGAACAGGTGACGCGGTCAGAGGGGAAGGTGAGGATCGGGAAGGTGCTGACCGAGCGGCCAGAGCCGGTGTCGGACGAGAAGGTGCAGGGTGAGAAGACAGCGAGAGGCGAGCAGGGCCCTCGCGGCGAGGGGAACGCCGCTGCGGAGGAGAGAGCCCGGGGCCAAGAGCGGCTCGCCAGGGAGAAGGGGCGGGGCGAGGAGAAGGGGCGGGGCCTCCAGAAGGGGCGGGGCGAAGGGCCGGCGCCGGAGGAGCGGCCCGCCCCCGACGCGGGGAAGGGGCGGGGCGACCCGAAGCCGGCGGGGGAGCAGGGGCGGGACAAGGAGAGGAAGCAGAGGGAGGAGCAAGCGGCCGGCAAGAGACAGGGGCGGGGCCAGGGGAAGGGGCGGGGCGTGGAGAAGACCCGGGAGGAGCGCGCGGGGCGGGGCCAGGCCAGGTACAGCACTGAGTTCCCGGCACGACCCCGAGCCCGGAGGAAGAAGCGGGGCGAAGAGCCGTCGAGGGGCGGGGCCAGGGGCAAGAGCAAGTGTGCGGTCGCAGGCTGGAGCAGGGCCGGAGAGAACAAGAGGGGCTCCCTCAAAGCGAGACCCAGAAGCCGGGACTGGGCGAAGAGAGGGGGCGGGGCCCAGAGCAGGGGCGGGGCCAAGCTAAGGGGAGAGGCGAGGAGGCGGAGCGAAACGGGGCTCTGGAGCACGACCGCGGCCCGGAGCGTCAGTAGGGGCGGGGCCCGCAATAGGAGCAGGGGCGGGGCCGGGAGCAAGAGCAGGGGCGGGGCCGGGAGCAAGAGCAGGGGCGGGGCCCCGAGTAAGCACAGGGGCGGGGCCGGGAGCAAGAGCAGGGGCGGGGCTAGGGGCAGGGGCGTGGCCAGGAGCTCGAGCAGAGGTGGAGCCAGGGGCAGGGGCCGGGGCCGGGGCCGGGGCCGGGCGAAGCGCAGAAGCGTGACTGGGGCCCAGAGGCCGGCAGCCGGGAGCTGCCGTGCGCGCGGGCATTGACCCCCGCGTTCTCCAGGTCGCAGGCGCGTTGCGCGCTGCCCAGCCATGTCCGTGGCCAGCGCTGCGTGGCCGCGAGGCCGAGCCCTGTGGGCGCTGTGGGCACTGCTGGCGGTGCTGTTGGCGCCGTGGAGGCTGTGGGCGTTCAACGATTTTCAGAAGTGCACCTGGCAGGTTGTCTTGAACAAGTTCGAGAGGCTGGGCGAGCACGGTGCCAGTGACCGCTTCTACGATCAAGAGCTCCTGGACAGAGTGGGCAGGATGTTCAGGATGCTGGTGGACTCGCCCATAGACCGGCACGAGGTGAGGGGTAGAGGGTCAGGAGGACCCAAGGGGCCACGTCCCGCTCGGCAGTGGACATTTCGCCCATCGTCTTCTTGCAGAAATACCTGGGCTTCCCTTACTACCTGAAGATCAACTACTCGTGCGAGGGACAGGTGAGCAGGTGCCCCTGTGCGGACTTGAGCTTCCCCATGTCTAGCATGTTAGTGCTGATAGCGCCATCCACCCCGGGGGCCTTAGGAACTCAAGACCCTACCAGCACATAGCAGGTGCTCAAGTAGGCTTTCTGTACTGTATTTTTTTTTTATTGGACTGTAACACACACATCATAAAATTCAGATTTCAAAGTGCAGGGTCAGTAGTTCTTAGCATATTGAGAAAGCTGGGCCAGCGTCTTCCCTCTCTCGTCCCTGTTAGTGGTCCCTCCCTGTTTCACTCCCTCCCTCCAGCCCCTGGAGAAGGCTTCTGCAGGCTTGAGTGCTGAAGCTGAACCTTTGGTTTAGGCGGGACCCCACGGCTGTGGAGGCTCATTCAGGTTGCAGCGTGTACCAGTGCTTCCTCTTCATGAATGAATGCCGTTCCACCGTGTGGGTGTGTCCTGTTTGGTTTATCCATTCACCAGCTCTTGAACACTGGGCTTATTTCTACTTTTTTGGCTGTTCTAAATGAAGCTGCTTGTGAACATTTGTGCACACATTTTGAGTGAACATGAACTTCCAGTTCTCTTTGGTGTATCCCTTGGCGTGGAGTTGCTGGGCCAAAGGCCAATGCTGTCTAATTTCTGAGGTGACGCCGGGCTGTTTCCCAAAGCAGCTGCCTCATCTCCAGCTCCCGCCAGTCACGGCGAGTCCCAGCGTGTCTGCATCCTCGCCAACACTTGCACTTGTCCTTCTTTTTCATACAGCCAGCGTACGAAGCGGCGTACTGTGGTCTTGATTTCCAGTCCCCTTAAAACTAATGACATTAAACATCTGTCCGTGTGCAATTTTAACCACTTATCTGCCTTCTCTGGAGAAATCTATGCCCCGATCCTTTGCCTCATTTTAGAAAATTTACCTATTTATTTATTTGAGAGGCAGAGAGAAAGAGTGACAGAGAAAGAGCGAGCTCCTATCTGCTCTTGCATTCCCCAAACACCTGTGGGTAGCTGGAGGTGGGCTGATTTGGAAACCAGGAGGTGGGAACACAGTCTGGGCCCCCCACGTGGGTGGCGGGGACCCAGTTATCAGAACCACTGCCTCCTGCCTCCCAGGGCCGGCATTAGTGGCCGGCTGGAGTCAGGAGCTGGAGTGGGTCCTGAACCCGGCACTCTGATACGTGATGGTGTTCTTGATTGTCAGCATAACAGCTGGGCCAAATGCTCACCCCTTGTCCACTTTAACATTTGTTTTTTGTATTTTTGTGGTTGAGTTGTCAGAGTTCTCTATATACCGCGCATACAACCTGCTTGTCAGGTGTATAACTTGTAGATACGTTGTCTCTTCCTGCGAGTTGTCTCTTCCCTTTCTGGGTGGTATCCTTGAGATGCAATTCACCCACGAAACAGCACAAAAGCTTCCAATTCTGCTGAAGTCTAATTCACCAACTGCAGTCGTTAGCTGCTTATGCACTTGCTTTGCCCAACCAAAGGTCACAGGCACTTACTCCTGTGTTTTCTTCTAGGGGATTTTTAATTCTCATTCTTTTTTAAAGAGATTTGTTTTATTTATTTATTTATTTGAGAGGCAGAGTTACAGACAGAGAGAGGTCTTCCATCTACTGGTTCTGGGTCTCCCACACGAGTGCAGCACTTAGCCATCTTCTGCTGCTTTCCCAGGCCCATAGCAGGGAGCTGGATTGGAAGAGGGGAGGTTGGGAGAAGAACCAGCGCCCACATGGGACGACGGAGCCACAGGTGGAGGCTTAGCCTGCTACATCACACTGGAGCTGAGCAGATCCGAAGCTAGGAGCCAGGAGCTTCCTCCGGGTCTCCCCCACGGGTGCAGGGGCCCAAGGACTTGGGCCATCTTCTACTGCTTTCCCAGGCCATAGCACAGATAGGATCGGAAGTGGAGCAGCCGGGACTCGAACCAGTGCCCATATGGGATGCTGGTGCTGCAGGCAGCAGCTTCACCTGCTACGCCACAGCATCTTTTTTTTTTTTTTTTTTAAGATTTATTTAACCGACCCCCAGTTCTAATTTTTATATTCGGGTCATTTGATTCACTTTGAGTTGATTTTTGTGTATGGTGTGAAGTAGAAATCCAGCCTTTGCCTGTGACTATCTAGTTGTTAAAATGGGCTACTCCTTCTTTCACTGAATTGCCTCGGCATCCTTGTCAGGATTAGTGGCCCGTAGAGTTTATTCCTGGGCTGGCTTTATTCCGGCGCTCTGTATGCTGTGCAGGCCCGGTTACAGCCGCAGCACAGTGCATTTTCAAAGCGGGAAGTTTGAGTGCTGCGACTTTATCCTGATTTTTCTGGTCGTTTGTGGCTTCAGTAAGCTTGCTGAGACAGCAGCGTGCTGTGGGCCGGGGTCTGGGTTTGAGTCAGCTGCTCATGAGTGCTTACCTGGAGGCATCTACCGCAGAAAGTACAGTGAGAGTGAACTGTTCGGGCTCTCGAGCCGGGCTGTTTGGGTTCAAAGATCCAACTCTGCCCTATAATGGCTGTGTGATCTCGGGCAAGTTATTAACCTCTCTGTGCCAAAGTTTCCTTTTTTTTTTTTTTTTTTTTTTTTTTTTAAGATCTGTTTGAAAGGCAGAGTGACAGGGGCAGGGGGAGATAGGTAGAGTGAGAGAGAGGGGCTCCATTTGCGAGTTCACCCCCCAGTGGCTGCAATGGTGAGGGCTGGGCCAGGTTGAAGCCAGAAGCCAGGAACTGCATCCGGGTCTCCCAGGTGGGTGGCAGGGGCCCAAGCACCTGGGCCATCTTCCACTGCTTCCCTAGACACATCAGTAGGGGGCTGAGACCAGCGCGGACGTGGGATGCCTGCGTTGTGGTGGCTTAACCGGCTGCACCGCGCCGCCTGCCGCAAGAGGGTACTACGTAGCGGGGTGGTTGGGGAAGGTCTCTGAGGAAGCCTGAGAGACCTGAGCGATGGAGGCGAGCTGGGAAAAGCGTCGCAGGCACGACCTGGAAGCAGGAGCGAGTGTGTGGCTGGAGCGGGAGCAGGAGGATTGTCGGGCCTCACGGCCAGGGAGAGGAAGCAGCTGTACTCTGGGAGTCTGAGAAGGCTCTGAGCGGAGGCGGCTGCTCACCACTGGGCAGGGGCAGGGCGGGGGGGGGGGGGGGGGGCAGGGGGCTGCTGCAGGGGGCTGTGTCCTGGGGGCAGAGCGGGGGGGGGGGCAGGGGGCTGCTGCGGGGTCGGTGTCCTGGGGGGGGTGACAGGGTGCCACTGTGGGGTCAGTGTCCTGAGGGCAGAGTGTGTGTGTGTGGGGAGGGTCGGTGTCCTGAGGGCAGAGCGGGTGAGGGGGAGACAGGAGGCTGCTGCGGGGCTCGGTGTCCTGGGGGCAGAGCGGAGGGGGGGGGACAGCTGCGGGGCTCGGTGTCCTGGGGGCAGAGTGGGGGGGGTCGGTGTCCTGAGGGCAGAGTGGGGGGGGTCCGTGTCCTGGGGGCAGAGCGGGGGGGGGCAGGGGGCTGCTGCTGCGGGGTCAGTGTCCTGAGGGGGGCTGACAGGGTGCCACTGCAGGGTCAGGGGTCAGTGTCCTGAGGGCAGAGTGTGTGTGGGGGGGGTCGGTGCCCTGAGGGCAGAGTTGGGGGGGGCAGGGGGGCCAGCTGTGAGGTCAGTGTCCTGAGGGCAGAGTGGGGGGGTCGGTGTCCTGAGGGCAGAGTTGGGAGAGGACAGGGGGCCTCTGCTGTGGGGTCGGTGTCCTGAGGGCAGAGCGGGGGTGGGGGGACAGGGGGCGGTGTCCTGCAGTGTCTGCCAGGAGGCCCACCCCCTGTCCCCCGCCCCTGCTCCCGGGTGTGGGGACCCAGAGGCAGGGCTGAGACAAATGCAGCCCTAGCAGACGGAGAGGCCGTCCCAGATGCTAAAACCTTGAAACTCCTCGCCCTGGTCCCATCCCCTCCCTGCCTCCTCCCCGCGCCCTGAGGGCAGCCTTTTCTGGGGCAGCCGCCAGGCCTTTGCTAGTGTGTTCCACAGCACACCCTTCTCCTTCCTCCCCCTCTCAGACCCTGCCTACCTCTCAGCCAGCCAGGGGCCTAGCATCCTTGGGAGGTAGCCCTCGGGGGCCCCTTACTCTCCTCCCCACCCCAACACTCTCCTGCCCTCACGCCAGCCCCAGCCCCACAGCCTGGAGGGAGCAGAGGCCAGCGTGTGCAGGGGCGTGGCAGCCCCTCCTGAGGGGGCTGGGTGTCCTGCAGGGGCAGGGGCTGCTAGCGGCTCCGGTGGCAGTTATCCTCTGTGCCCTTCCCTCTGCACGCCCTGCACACGTGTTCTGACTGAAGACCCTGGCCCTGGCCCCGC